AATCAAGAAGGGAGCTTTCCAGGAGGTGTGCACTGCCAAGGTACTAAGATAGCAGACAGGGCCCAACAAGGCCAGGCTAGAAAACCATTTGAGAACACGGCTGGATGCCAGGGCCGAAGGCCGTTCCAAAATTAGCGAGAACTACGAGGAAGAGGATGTTGGAGAAGGGAGGTCAGTCATTAATAGACTTGTTAACCCCCAGGTAATTACACACCGGGCAAGACACATCTCTGAGCTAAAAAGAGACAAAGGTGAAATCAAAACAGACTGAGGTAAACACAAATTTACAAATTCGCTTTCCCTTGTCCCGGCTCAAGGTAGAATGCCGAGTTATTGACAAGATCTCTGTCACAGACCATCCCGTTTCACTTCAATTTAAGAGCCATGAAATTTAAGAGCCAGGAAACGCAACAATCCAAAGACATGGTTCAGAGTTGAGCTACTGTCCCTTAACTCAAAACTCTCCATGATCACTGACCTGTTTAAACATTTGTTGAAAGAGTGCTCAAAGGAGATCAAAGGTTACAAGTAGAATATGAAGACTGGCCAGCCCTGAGTCTGAACTTGAGAGAACCCAGTGAGATCAGTGGATAATGGAGAACAGGCTTGTCGGGTTAAAAGGAAGAGCAGGTGGGAGCAGTTTAGAAAGTGCCTGGGCGGGAATCACCGTGTGCTTCCTAGAACCTGCATGGAACAGGAGGCGGGATGAGGAAGGGGCTTTCTGAATTCCCCGTTTGCCTCTCCTTATTCCTGGCTTCTTCCTGTATTTCACTTTCCTTTTTGACTCCACATTGAAACATTAATTAAAACCAGCAATCTAGGTTTCTTACGGTGCACCGGACTCTCACCGTGCCGATTTTCACATCTCAGTCAAGACAATAATATTGTCCCTTCCTACAGCGTGATGTGATAAAGCCATTTTACTACTTTTTTTTTTTTTTCAGAGGTGGGGGTCTTGCTATGTTGTGCAGGCTGGTCTCAGACTCCTGGGCTCAAGTCAATCTGCTGCTTCAGGCTCCTGAGCTGGGCATTCAACTTCTCTTAAGCTTTATTACAAAATGAAAATGCCTGGCCGGCTCTGGAATGCTGCTTGGAAAACTCTCGTTAATAATTAGTGGTTGCGGGCCGGGCACGGTGGCTCAAGCCTGTAATCCCAGCACTTTGGGAGGCCGAGGCGGGTGGATCACGAGGTCAAGAGATCGAGACCATCCTGGTCAACATGGTGAAACCCCGTCTCTACTAAAAATACACAAAATTAGCTGGGCATGGTGGCGCGTGCCTGTAATCCCAGCTACTCAGGAGGCTGAGGCAGGAGAATTGCCTGAACCCAGGAGGCGGAGGTTGCGGTGAGCCAAGATCGCGCCATTGCACTCCAGCCTGGGTAACAAGAGCAAAACTCCATCTCCCCGAAAAAAAAAAAAAAAAAAAAAAAAATTAGTGGTTGCACCAAACATTCAATCTCAAACTCCCACGTGATGCCCTTTCTCTCATGTGAACTAAACAGTTCCCTGCCCTCTGAAAAGACAGATGTCCTCTTTTGCTTTGTGTCTTAGAAGAAATGTGATTACGTACACGCCACAGCAAGGCCTTCACATCTAAGTGTTTCATCTCACCAGGGATCGCACAGATCCGCGCTCATTCCGGGACACTTTCTGGGCCCATGCTACGTCTCCAGTTAGAAGCAAAACAACAAACCAGCCACAAACTCCCGCGTTTTCCTTTCTTTTAGGAGATGGGAGTCTCCCTCTGTCGCCCCGGATGGAGTACAGTGGTGCAATCTCAATTCACTACAACCTCTGCCTCCCGAGTAGCTGGGATTACAGGTGCGTGCCACCACGCCTGGCTAATTTGTGCATTTTTAGTAGACACGGGGTTTTGCCTTGTTGGCCAGGCTGGTCTGAAACTCTTAAGTGCAAGGGACCCACCGGCTTTGGCGTCTCAAAGTGCTGGGATGACAGGTGTGAGCCACGTGCCCGGCTCTACTATACACTGTGTTTTGATCACACGGTCACTTCCTGTCTCTGCTTTCGTTTCGACCTTTCCTGTAGTGTGGGATGCCTTCTGCCTTCCTTCTCCTACGCTCTTTGTCCCCGCTTTGTCAGTACTAGCCAGCTCAAGACTCAGGTCAAATACGGCTCTGCCTACTCAAACTCTCTTTTCATCGCCAGCTCTAAATCCTCCTACCGTTGCATCTGTGAACCGCCAGTATACATATACCTACTGCGGAATGTATTCTCGCCGGGCGCGGTGGCTCACGCCTGTAATCCCAGCACTTTGGGAGGCCGAGGTGGGTGGATCACGAGGTCAAGAGATCGAGACCATCCTGGTCAACATGGTGAAACCCCGTCTCTACTAAAAATACAAAACATTAGCTGGACATGGTGGCGCGTGCCTGTAATCCCAGCTACTCAGGAGGCTGAGGCAGGAGAATTGCCTGAACCCGGGAGGCGGAGGTTGCGGTGAGCCGAGATCGCGCCATTGCACTCCAGCCTGGGTAACAAGAGCGAGACTCTGTCTCGAAGAAAAAAAAAAAAAAAAGAATGTATTCTCATCTCTAGTAGATTAAATGCGGCCACGCCTACCATCCCAGGAGATTGTGGAGTACCAAAGAGTGTGGCCTCCTGTCTTCTTTTTATAATTCTTTCTAGAAATGCATCTTAAGCACAAGAATGCTCAATAAACATTTGGGGTTTAGGAAAACAAAATGAAGTAAAGGAGGCTGGGCGTGGTGGCTCACGTCTGTAATCCGAGCACTTTGGAGGCCAAGGCTGGCGGATCACCCTGAGGTCGGGAGTTCAAGAACAGCTTGACCAACATGGTGAAACCCCACCTTTAAAAAGAAAGAAGGCCGGGCGCGGTGGCTCAAGCCTGTAATCCCAGCACTTCGGGAGGCCGAGGCTGGTGGATCACGAGGTTGAGAGATCGAGACCATCCTGGTCAACATGGTGAAACCCCGTCTCTACTAAAAATACAAAACACTAGCTGGGCATGGTGGCGCGTGCCTGTAATCCCAGCTACTCAGGGGGCTGAGGCAGGAGAATTGCCTGAACCCAGGAGGCGGAGGTTGCGGTGAGCCGAGATCGCGCCATTGCACTCCAGCCTGGGTAACAAGAGCAAAACTCCATCTCCCCCCAAAAAAAAAAAAAAAAAAAAAAAAATTAGTGGTTGCACCAAACATTCAATCTCAAACTCCCACGTGATGCCCTTTCTCTCATGTGAACTAAACAGTTCCCTGCCCTCTGAAAAGACAGATGTCCTCTTTTGCTTTGTGTCTTAGAAGAAATGTGATTACGTACACGCCACAGCAAGGCCTTCACATCTAAGTGTTTCATCTCACCAGGGATCGCACAGATCCGCGCTCATTCCGGGACACTTTCTGGGCCCATGCTACGTCTCCAGTTAGAAGCAAAACAACAAACCAGCCACAAACTCCCGCGTTTTCCTTTCTTTTAGGAGATGGGAGTCTCCCTCTGTCGCCCCGGATGGAGTACAGTGGTGCAATCTCAATTCACTACAACCTCTGCCTCCCGAGTAGCTGGGATTACAGGTGCGTGCCACCACGCCTGGCTAATTTGTGCATTTTTAGTAGACACGGGGTTTTGCCTTGTTGGCCAGGCTGGTCTGAAACTCGTAAGTGCAAGGGACCCACCGGCTTTGGCGTCTCAAAGTGCTGGGATGACAGGTGTGAGCCACGTGCCTGGCTCTACTATACACTGTGTTTTGATCACACGGTCACTTCCTGTCTCTGCTTTCGTTTCGACCTTTCCTGTAGTGTGGGATGCCTTCTGCCTTCCTTCTTTCTCCTACGCTCTTTGTCCCCGCTTTGTCAGTACCAGCCAGCTCAAGACTCAGGTCAAATACGGCTCTGCCTACTCAAACTCTCTTTTCATCGCCAGCTCTAAATCCTCCTACCTTTGCATCTGTGAACCGCCAGTATACATATACCTACTGCGGAATGTATTCTCGCCGGGCGCGGTGGCTCACGCCTGTAATCCCAGCACTTTGGGAGGCCGAGGCGGGTGGATCACGAGGTCAAGAGATCGAGACCATCCTGGTCAACATGGTGAAACCCCGTCTCTACTAAAAATACAAAACATTAGCTGGGCATGGTGGCATGTGCCTGTAATCCCAGCTACTCAGGAGGCTGAGGCAGAAGAATTCCCTGAACCCGGGAGGCGGAGGTTGCGGTGAGCCGAGATCGCGCCATTGCACTCCAGCCTGGGTAACAAGAGCGAAACTCCGTCTCAAAAAAAAAAAAAAAAAAAAAAGAATGTATTCTCATCTCTAGTAGATTAAATGCGGCCACGCCTACCATCCCAGGAGATTGTGGAGTACCAAAGAGTGTGGCCTCCTGTCTTCTTTTTATAATTCTTTCTAGAAATGCATCTTAAGCACGAGAATGCTCAATAAACATTTGGGGTTTAGGAAAACAAAATGAAGTAAAGGAGGCCGGGCGTGGTGGCTCACGTCTGTAATCCGAGCACTTTGGAGGCCAAGGCTGGCGGATCACCCTGAGGTCGGGAGTTCAAGAACAGCTTGACCAACATGGTGAAACCCCACCTTTAAAAAGAAAGAAGGCCGGGCGCGGTGGCTCAAGCCTGTAATCCCAGCACTTCGGGAGGCCGAGGCGGGTGGATCACGAGGTTGAGAGATCGAGACCATCCTGGTCAACATGGTGAAACCCCGTCTCTACTAAAAATACAAAACACTAGCTGGGCGTGGTGGCGCGTGCCTGTAATCCCAGCTACTCAGGGGGCTGAGGCAGGAGAATTGCCTGAACCCAGGAGGCGGAGGTTGCGGTGAGTGGAGATCGCGCCATTGCACTCCAGCCTGGGTAACAGGAGGGAAACTCCGTCTAAAAAAAAAAAAAAAAAAAAAAAAAGAGAGAAAGAAAGAAAAAAAAATGAAGTAAAGGAAAATAAACAGGCAGGAATGGAAGTACATGAAAAGAATCTCTCTTTCATCGAAAGCTCCTCCTCCCTACTCTCACGCACACTCACCTCTTGCTTGATGGGTTTGACGGACAGGTGGTCAGACATGCACGTAGGGTGCAATTCTGCCTTTGTGCGCTGTGGACGTTTTCCCTATAGTTAGAAGTGAAGAAGAGAAAGGAAAAGATGGATTAGGGCGCTCTCAGCTACTGACGCTGCTGCTGCCGCCAGTCCAAAAGTGGCCAGCGAGGCACCCAGGTCAGGGCCAAAGGCTTCCTTACGACAATCAGGGAAATCCTCTGCTCAGCTGTGTAGGGACACAAGCCAGTTTATTCTCTCGAAAAAAATAAAATAAAAAACTTGGAGACGAGCAAGTGTCTTTCATAACAAGCATCACTGGCAAGAAACTCCCGTAACAGTTAAAAAAAAAAAATGATCTTCCCAAATCACAAAGAGAAAGCCATGCCTTAGCACCTTCAGCGGAAGGGGCGGCTCTGGGAGGGGGCATTGGGAGCAGCTGGAGGCGGGCCGCCAAGCAAAGGCAGCGCAGTGGCAGAAGTGAGGTGAGAGCAGCTGCCCAGGAGGGGAGGCCGGGGAGTGAGCAGGGTGGGGAAAGGGCTGGGTGAGCAGAATGCGATTTGAGCTGAGAAATTGCACGCGGCTGGAAGGCAGTCCCTGCAGGACATTTCAAAGGAACAGCGTGGAGAACTGTTTGGATCTAGGTAACTACTTTGAAGGCCAAGGCTTATGAGCACATGTAAGTTCTGGAATTTGTGAGGAACAAGCCCCAGGGCATCACCAACTGTAACCTACATTAAAAGGTGGCCAGCAAAGGCCTTCCCTTAAGATAACATCACTTCCGTGGGTTCTGCATAAAAAAGCCGCCTTCTCCAGGGTTGGTCCTGGCACTGCTCAATCCACGAGGTAAGGAATTATAGGATGGAAAATTGACAAGGGGTGGTTTATACAACTTCAACATACCGCCAAGCCACGGGGGTGGGGGGGGCGGGTATTTAATGAATCGGCAAAGAGAGCTTTTCTGTTTTCAAAGAGAGAGAATGACCAGCGCCCAGTGCAAATACAAGCCTAATGACCAAATGCTGTTGTGACCTCCTTTAAGTACTTGTCCCAGAACACCGACCCCAGCAGCTTCCTGAACTATGTCTATAACCTTTTATTTATTTTTTTTGATAGGGTCTTGTTCTATCGCCAAGGATGAAGTGCAGTGGCACAGTCATAACTTCCTGCGACTCAAACTGCTGGCCTCAAGCAACGGTACCACCCTGGACTCCCAAAGCACTGGGATAGCAATTATGTTCTAAGCCTCAAGACTCTCCTAAGATCTCTTCAATTTGAAATACCGTAAAGGAACTGTCAGGGAACTGTCTTCCAAAGAGATGATGCCAGTTTACCAAGACAGTTCCAAAACCGCCAATGTCAGTTTCACTTCAAACCTGCCACATCAGAGAAAAGTTACCAATGAGAAAAATGCTGGTCTTGATACAGAGGGTGAATGTTTCCCTATGCACTTCCCCGTCCCCTTCTCTGTAAACCATCTAGACTCTTCGATTTACTTGTTGAGAAATTAATGTTTATAAAGCTGTATAGTGTGTAACACGAGCAACAAACTCTACCGGTATCTACGTCCCCTTTTATTAAAAAAGGTTTACTTAAACTGTTGTATGGTCATCACAGGAGGACTTACCTTCGGATTATTTCCAAGTTTAGAGGACAATCGTGTCATACCTTCACAAAGATGTAGCAAATCTTCTGACGCTCTTACTGCCTTTATTTTGCTAAAAAATGTGGCTTTATTTTTCTACAAAGATTTCTCTGATCAATTACCATCAACATAACATTACAGGAGAGGAGGGCTGGTGTCTTTTGATAGCCAAATACTAGGCTCTCTACATTGACATGGGGTAATTCCCACAAAAACTTCTGTCAAGTGATAGCATTTCATTTTCCTACTAAGAAAACTGAAGCGGACCCCAATTTAAAAACAAATTTAAAAAATCACCGGGCGCGGTGGCTCAAGCCTGTAATCCCAGCACTTTGGGAGGCCGAGGCGGGTGGATCACGAGGTCAAGAGATCGAGACCATCCCGGTCAACATAGTGAAACCCCGTCTCTACTAAAAACACAAAAAATTAGCTGGGCATGGTGGCACGTGCCTGTAATCCCAGCTACTCAGGAGGCTGAGGCAGGAGAATTGCCTGAACCCAGAAGGCGGAGGTTGCGGTGAGCCGAGATCGCGCCATTGCACTCCAGCCTGGGTAACAAGAGTGAAACTCCGTCTCCAAAAAAAAAAAAAAAAAAAAAAAAAAAAAAAAAAAAAAATCAGGTATGGTAGTGTGTGCCTGTAGGAGGCTGAGGCAGGAGGATCGTTTGAGCCTAGGAATCCAACGTTACAACGAGCTATGATTACGCTACTGCACTCCAGCCTGGGTAACAGAGAGGGCCCTGTCTCTTAAAAAAAGAAAAAGTTGATGGAAAGACATCAAGAAACAATTCATCTAAGGGACAGAACGGGACAGGGCACGGCCATAATTGAAGTAAGTTTGAAAGAAACGCTCCAGCCTCTTCCACAGGGCATGTTAACCCCTCTTCCACTGCCCCGTTTCTGTACTTTTTTTTTTTTTTTGAGATGGATGCTGTTGCCCAGGCTGGAGTGCGGTTGGATGATCTCATCTCACTGCGAACTCTGCCTCCTGCGTTTAAGCGATTCTCCTGCCTCAGCCTCCTGAGTGGCTGAAAATACAGGTGCCCACCACCACGCCTGGCTAATTTATATATTTTAGTAGAGATGGGGTTTCACCATGTTGGCCAAGCTGGTCTTGAACTCCTGACCTCAGGTGATCTGTCCGCCTCGGCCTCCCAAAGTGCTGGGATTACAGGCATGAGCCACCGAGCCCGGCCCCAGGTCAACCTTTCTAAATGTTGCATCTTACTATTCTTTATTGTGTTACGCTGGACAAGACTTCCAAAACAATATTACCAGTAATAGAGTCTCAAGCATTACTCTTTCGGGAAAAAGATGGCTTTCACGTGTCAGTATTAACAACCTCACAGACTGTCGTGTGTCACTTAACAATGTGGATACATTTTGAGAAACCACATTCTTAGTAATTTTGTTATGTTGTCAACAATACAGAATTCAAGGACTAGATGGCATTTATTCTACACCTAGGCTGCAGGGTGCAGCCTGTTACCCCAGATGATATGGCCTAGTACAACCCTTGGTGGTGTAACCTACACACCTAGGTTATGGGGTGTACGCTACTGCTCCTAGCTGGTGTAGCCTACTACACACAACTCTAGGTGGTACAGCCTGCCACACACCCAGGCTACAGGATATATAGCCTATTGCTCCTAGCCGGTATAGCCTACTACATACAATCCTAGCCACACAATGGTAAAGTATTAGTGTACCTAAAACAGGCGTCCTCAAACTATGGCCCGCGGGCCGCATGCGGCCCCCTGAGGCCATTGATCTGACCCCCGCTGCACTTCAGGAAGGGGCACCTCTTTCACTGGTGGTCAGTGAGAGGAGCACAGTATGTGGTGGCCCTCCAACGGTCTGAGGGACAGTGAACTGGCCCCCTGTGTAAAAAGTTTGGGGACGCCTGATCTAAACATGTAAACAGAAAAGGTACAGTAAAAATACAGTATAAAAGATTTCAGAACTGGCACACAGAGACAAGACACTTATAGTGAACGGAGGTTGCAGCTCCGGCGGTTGCTCTGGTGAGTCAGTGACGGTCCCTACTTTAGACCTTATAAACACAATGTGCTTTGGTACACTTTATTGATTGACTGATTGATTGAGACAGCGTTTCACTCTGTTGCCCAGGGTGGAGTGCAATGGCGGGATCTCGGCTCACGGCAACCTCTGCCTCCCAGGTTCGAGAGATTCTCCTGCCTCAGCCTTCCGAGTCGCTGGGATTACAGGCATGTGCTACCACGCCCGGCTCATTTTTTGTACCTTTTAGTAGAGATGGGGTTTCACCGTATTAGCCAGGCTAGTCTTGAACTCTGAACCTCAGGGGATCCGTATGCCCCGGCCTCCCAAAGTGCTGGGATTACAGGTGTGCACCACCGCACCCCGCCAGGTTATAGTATATTCACAGAAAGAAATGTAACTGTACCACGTCATAACGGCTATGGTGACAGGAATTTTTCAGCTCGCTTATAATCTTACGGGACCACAGTGGTACACGTGGTTTGTCATTGACCAAAATGTGGTTACTTGGGACATTATTGCATGTAGTATGGAATGAGGAGAGTATGTTTAATTTTATCACGACTGGCGTTCAAAGATACCTGTACCAGAACGAACAGAGTAGCTTCCAATTATTTCTTTCATTTTGGAAATGTTTGGAAACTTCTCTTTTCTTTGAAGGTTTAGAAAACTTTACCTGTCAATAAATCCAACTCATTCTGGGGCTTTTTTGATTTTATAAAAATAGAAGCTGGGTGCAGTGGCTGACACCTGTAATCCCAGAACTTTGGGAGGCTGAGGTGGGTGGACCACCTGAGGTCAGGAGTTTTGAGACTAGTCTAGCCTATATAGCAAAACCCCGTCTCTACTAAAAACACAAAAAATTAGCTGAGTGTGGTGGCAGGCGCCTGCTACTAATCCCAGCTACTTAAGAGGCTGAGGCAGGAGAATTGCTTGAACTCTGGAGGCTGAGGTTGCAGTGAGCCGAGATGGTGCCATTACGCTCCAGCCTGGGAAACAAAACTGAAACTCTGTCTCAAAAAAAAAAAAAAAAAAAAAGTTAAGAGACGTGGTATGACTATGCTGTCCAAGCTGGTCCCGAACTCCTGACCTCCAGCAATCTTCCTGCCTTGTTTTCCCCAAGTGTTAGGATTACAGACAAGAACCATTATGTACAGCCAGATTCTGGAGCTTTTGATGGGATCCTTCTGTGAAAACTCGTCTTCCCGAATTATATACTCTGCTAAGATTTTCTGCTTCCCAATTTAGATTTCTTTTTCTTTTTTTTTGAAACAGTCTCGCTTTGTCGCACAGGCTGGAGTACAGTGGTGCCATCTTGGCTCACCGCAACCTCTACTTTCCGGGTTCAAGCAATTCTCCTGCCTCAGCTTCCTGAGTAGATGGGATTACAGGCACGCAACCACCATGCCCGGCTAATTTTGGTATTTTCAGTAGAGACGGAGTTTCACCATGTTGGCCAGGATGGTCTCAAACTCCTGACTTCAAGTGATCCACCCGCCTCGGCCTCCCAAAGTGCTGGGATTACAGGCGTGAGCCACCGCGCCCGGCCTAGATTTTTCTCATTATACTATTCTTCTGGTTAATAGGACTTCACTGATATGTTTGAACTCAAAACTACTATCTATTTCTTTGAAAACATCAAATCCATTATTTCTTTCTGGTTTCCAAATTCATTGTTCTTGAAAATTCTATTTAAAGATTACTCTATTTAAGGGTTACCTTAATCTTTGATTTTTCTTCTCTTGATAAGAATCAATGCTTGAATTTTTTTAATCAAAATAATCAGCTTTATGCTTTAAGGTTTTTCCCCCTTAATTCTTCTATCCCCCAAAATGTTAGGCTGAACACTGCAGTAAAAAAGCAGAAATGATAAAAGGCGGCTGAAGGTGATTTGAATGTATTTGTAGATAATTCAATGTGCCACGACTGGTCATATCAATAGAATCACATGCAAGGTTACGCAAAGTCTTAAAACTATCTCTTGGCCGGGCGCGGTGGCTCAAGCCTGTAATCCCAGCACTTTGGGAGGCCGAGGTGGGTGGATCACGAAGTCAAGAGATCGAGACCATCCTGGTCAACATGGTGAAACCCCGTCTCTACTAAAAATATGAAAAATTAGCTGGGCATGGTGGCGTGTGCCTGTAATCCCAGCTACTCAGGAGGCTGAGGCAGGAGAATTGCCTGAACCCAGGAGGCGGAGGTTGCGGTGAGCCGAGATCGCGCCACTGCACTCCAGCCTGGGTAACGAGAGCGAAACTCCGTCTCAAGAAAAAAAAAAAAAACCTCTCTCTTTACACTATAGTTACTTTAAGAAAATTAGGTGATATATTTTAATTCCTAGAAAAGCTGCTGGAGTAAATTGCTGATCGCAAAAACGAAATGTAATTACTGTACAAGAATTTAAGTTCACTGATGGGAAATGGAGATTTTCTGGATCATCCATGTTCCTGTTATTAGAGAAAGGTAAATTTCTGGGACTTTCCCCAAAGCATCAACCTGCTTAAGGGTTAGACACGTCACCACATCCACAATAAATTAAATAATACATGTCAGCCTCCCTGTATGCACTGCAGTGATGATTTATAAACTCTTTCTCTTCATATTTCACTGGCAAGTAGTCATACATTTCTGATCCTCTATTAACATGCACTCATAATCAGAAATATTATCATTGATATGAAATAAGCAAACTGAATAATTATCAAGCAACCACCACAGAAAAGGCAAGCCAGGCCAAATGTGGTGGCTGATGCCTGTCATCACCGTGCTTGGGAGGCCAAGGTTGGGGGATCACTTGAGGCCAGGAGTCGAGACCAGCCTGGCCAACATCGCAAAACCCCATCTCTACTAAAAAGATAAAAAAAAATCAGCCGGGCGTGCCTATAGTCCCAGCTACTTGGGAGGCTGAGGCATGAGAATTGCTTGAATCTGGGAGGTGGAGGTTGTAGTGAGCTGAGATTGTACCACTGCACGCCAGCCTGGGTGACAGAGTGAGACTCTGTCTTAAAAAACCAAGACAAGAGCCGGGCGCGGTGGCTCAAGCCTGTAATCCCAGCACTTTGGGAGGCCGAGGCGGGTGGATCACGAGGTCGAGAGATCGAGACCAACCTGGTCAACATGGTGAAACCCCGTCTCTACTAAAAATACAAAAAAATTAGCTGGGCATGGTGGCGCATGCCTGTAATCCCAGCTAGTCAGGAGGCTGAGGCAGGAGAATTGCCTGAACCCAGGAGGCGGGGGTTGCGGTGAGCCGAGATCGCGCCATTGCACTGCAGCCTGGGTAACGAGCGAAACTCCGTCTCAAAAAAAAAAAAAAAAAAAAAAAAAACAAACAACAACAAGACAAGAAAACATTACGTATTGTGGCCATTTAAAAGGTGAGTAAGCCGTGGTCCCTGAGCTGAAGAAGCTTGAACTCACAAAGATTTAAGCATAAAGAAATATGTTAAGGAACAGAAGTTAAAAGGCTGGGGAAGACAAGGACAGTTCACGGACATAGTGACATCTGCGTAAGTCTTTTGAGAGAATAGTATTCAAATGGGTAACGAAGTGGGGGGTGGGGGGTTGGGGGAGGTGTGGTGGCTCACACCTGTAATCCCAGCACTTTGGGAGGTCGAGGCAGGAAGAGTGCTTCAGCCCAGGAGTTCAAGACCCGCCTGGGTAACATAGGAACACCCTAGGTATAGATAAAATTAAAAGATTAGACAGGCAGTGACATCCGCTTGAGGTCCCAGCTATGCGAGAGGATCACCTGAGCCTGGGAGGTTGAGGCTGCAGTGAGCTATGATTGTACCACTGTACTCCAGCCTGGGCAACACAGCAAGACCCTGTCTTAAAACAATAAAAGCTGGGCACAGTGGCTCATGCCTGTAATTCCTGCACCCTGGGAGCCAAGAGAGGAGGACGGATTGAGGAAGAGCTGGAGACAAGCCTAGGCGGCATAGCAAGACCCAGTCTCTCCAAAAAGAGTCAAAAAAATAATGAGTTGGGTGTGGTGGCACGGACCTGTGGACCAGCTGCTTGGGAGGCTGAGATGAGAGGATCACTTGAGCCTGGGAAGTCAAGGCTGCAGTGAGCTGTGACGGCACCACTGCACTGCAGCCTGGTGACAAAGTAAGAGAGCTCGTCTTCAAAAATAAAGAAACAAATACAAGCCAGATGCAGTGGCTTATACCTGTATGGTTCACACCTGTCATCCCACCACTTTGGGAAGCTGGGGTGGTGGTTATCGCTTGAGGTCAGGAGTTCTAGACCAGCCTGGCTAAAATAGTGAAACCCTGCCTTTACTAAAAATACAAAACTGAGCCAGGCGTGGTGTGGTGGTGGTGGTGGCTGGGTGCCTAGAATCCCAGCTCCTCGGGAGGCTGAGGCGGGAGAATCGCTTGAACCCGAAAGGTAGAGGCTGCAGTGAACCAAGATCATGCTACTGCACTCCAGCTTGAGACAGAGGAAGACTTCCCAAAAAAAAAAAAAAAAAGAGGGAAGAAGATGAGGAAGGATGTTCGAAGATGTCACGAAGCAGGGTGTACATCCTGACAATATGGGGCGTATCATTTATGAAGCTATAGCTTGCCCTGAATCTGCTGAAGATTCGGGACACAAGCAGGTGAGCCAGGCAAAGGGCTGGCAATGGAGGTAGAAGGACAAAGGCAAACCCATCGGATGTTCTTTTTGTTTTAAAGCATTACGCAGGGGCTCACGGAATGTTTCCTGAGGAGTGTACGGGAGAAGGGAGGTGGGCTCCAGCCCGCGAAAAGCCGCTGTCAGTCCCGGTAGGTGGTAGCCACTGAGGACTTCCTGGGCAAGGAGAACGTGATAGGACCCACGGTGAAGGACAGGGGGTGGCACGGGCCCCATTCGCACAATGGCGTTCAGACCGGATGGAAGCCTGCACTGTTTCCAGGACAGCCTCATGCACGAGCCTCCAACCGTGCGGCCCCAGGCCTCGCACAGGGGGGCCGAGCGGAGTCGGACGCACCTTCTGGGCGATCATGCTGCAGATTTCAGGCAGGAAGTCCTCGCTGAGGAGCTTGTAGAGCTGCCGTTCCCGAAGGGAGGTCCTCTCGCGGAAACTCTCAGTCACCCGTCTCCATTCTTCTTCCGTTTGGCATAGGAGCCACCAAGTACCCTGGCCTGGCCCTTGGGACCCTAGAAAATGAAGGCATGGATTCACTATAGGAGAGTCTATGAGGACCCTTTCCTTATTTATTCTCAGTTCTGTTTCTACCCTGGGTCACGATTAACACAAGGGAGTCAAAAAAGAGACCTATTACAATTTCTTTTTTGAGACAGGGTCTTGCTCTATTGCCCAGGCTAGAGTGCAGTGGTACCATCTCAGCTCACTGTAACCTCTGCCTCCTGGGCTCAAGCCACCTTCCCATTTTAAGCATCTCCAAGTAGCTGGGACACCACCCAGCTAATCTTATGTATTTTTAGTAAAGACAGGCTTTTGTCATGTGGTCCAGGCTGGTATCTAATTCCTGGGCTCAAGCAATCTGCCTGCTTCAGCCTCCCAAAGTGCTGGGATCACAGGTGTGAGCCACTGTGCCTGGCCTTTTTAATTCTGTCTGTCTGTCTCTGTATATCCATCCATCCACCCCCCCATCCATCCATCCATCCATCTAGAGATGGGAGTCCCACTCTGTAGTCACGACTGGAGTGCAGTGGCGCCATCTCAGCTCACTGCAGTCTCTGCCTCCCGGATTCAAGTGATTCTCCTAGCTCAGCCTCCTGAGTAGCTGGGATTACAGGTGCCCGCCACCACACCCAGCTTACTTTTCTATTTTTAGTAGAGATGGGGTTTCCATGTTGGCCAGGCTGGTCTCGAACTCCTGACCTCAAGTGATCCACCCACCTCGACCTCCCAAAGTGCTGGGATTACAGGCATGAGCCACCGTAAGGGCTTCTTTTTAATTTTAAAGTTGACAATGTATACTTCAGGTTTTCTTGTTAAAGTCACGGGTAACAACTAAAAAACATGCCTAAAGGCAATACAAACACAACTCCTGTGACTTGAACAAGATAGATATTCACAGCCTAGAAATGATTACACTTACTGACAGTAGTGTTGAGTCTTCGTGGAGTCTATCTTGCCTCAACGACACTGTGATACTGCAAACTATTTGCCTCCCATATATATGCTATTTGGATAACAAAATTAAAATCCAGGTGGGAAACTAGTGTGTAAGAAGCCATAAGGAAACCACTGTGTCATGCAACACTGACATTAAAAAGACATCTCTCTGAGAAGCTGGTTATTCACTCCAACGCTGGTGCGTCTATTATACTGTGCCTAGTAAACGGGGCACTTCTGACCTTAATCCTCGGTCGGATGGTGAGCTGGGTACAAGGTAAGATGTGAGGAAGAGAACAGACAGCAGTACAAAGGGGAGGTATAAGCTACTGCAGTAACCTTTACTTTGTGTGGTTCTAGAAAAAGATTCAGAGTCAACACCCTACCAGAAACAAATCATGTTTACTTAATTCTTTCTAAAGGCCGGCAAAGAACATTACCATGTCTTGTCTGTGGCTCAGATGCCAAGGAGTTTTCTTCCTGCTTTTCACTGAAAGACAGGAAAAAGAGGTAGCAATTAAAACGAAGACAGGTCCACAATGGTTCTGTGCTATCCCACGATGGCAGACCCAGTTAATGTAACACAAAGAGAGTGTATGTGTGCGTTAAGGGGACAGGGCTTGGAAGCGGAACGCTCAGTAAACCAACACTAGGATGTAGGCAAGCTGGTCTAGAGGGGAAGCTACCCAGTGTTATGGCAACAGTCTCAATGCCTAAGAAAACAAGTCACTTTTATTTGTTTTTTTTTTTTTTTTTTTTTTGAGAGGGAGTCTTGCCCTGTTGCCCAGGCTGGAGGGCAAATCTCAGCTCACTGCAACCTCTGCCTTCCAGATTCAAGCAATTCTCCTGCTTCAGCCTCCTGGGTAGCTGGGATTACAGGCACGCGTCACCACGCTTGGCTCATTTTTGTATTTTCAGTAGAGACGAGGTTTCACCATACTGGCCAGGCTGGTCTCAAACTCCTGACCTCGTGATCCTCCCGCATCAGCCTCCCAAAGTGCTGGGATAAGAAGCATGAGCCGCCAAGCCCGGCCAGAAAACAGTAACTTTTAAAACTTTTTTTTTGGAAATCAGCTGCACTGTTTTTTGTTTGTTCTTGCTTTTTTTAATCACCGCTTCAGTCAAGGGAGACAGATACAATTGTTAATTGCTACATGCAAGGAAAAAGAACCGTAGGGATTCTAATGTCCTCCCAGATTCAGGGCCAGACTGAAGGCAGACCTATTACAACTTACTCTTACCTAACGCAGAGGGCTAAGAGCATGGGCTCCCCCGTGGGAACGTCTCTATTCAAGCTGTGCCACTTACAATGTGACTTCAGGAAAGTTAATTAACTTTCCCCCAAAATGGAGCTATTAACAGTGCCTCCCTCACAGGGGCGTAGGAGATTAAATTACAAAATGCCAAGTGTATAAGGCAAGAGCATTAAGAGTCCTTTTCCCTTGTATCCCTGAAAAAGAAAGGAAACTCTCTGGATTTTTTACTTGTTTTCAAGTACTTAAGCAGTATCTGATCAATTCAAGTTTCTGTTGAGAATGAAAATTTTCTTTATTAGCGCCGTCCATATAATACGGTAGCCACAAACCATGTGGCCGCTGAGCACTTGAAATGTGGCTAGTCCGAACGAGAAACTGAATTTTAAATTTAATTTAAAAATATTGAAGGCCGGGCACGGTGGCTCAAGCCTGTAATCCCAGCACTTTGGGAGGCCGAGGCGGGTGGCTCACGAGGTCAAGAGATCGAGACCATCCTGGTCAACGTGGTGAAACCCCGTCTCTACTAAAAATACAAAAAAGTAGCTGGGCATGGTGGCACATGCCTGTAATCCGAGCTACTCAGGAGGCTGAGGCAGGAGAATTGCCTGAACCCAGGAGGCGGAGGTTGCGGTGAGCCGAGATCGCGCCATTGCACTCCAGCCTGGGTCACAAGAGCGAAACTCCATCTCAAAAAAAAAAAAAAAAAAAATTGAAATACTGGCTCACGCACACAGCTCTGAAGGAAAAAAAAAAATCACCAGTAGAGGGTGGCACAAGTCCATGGATACTTGTTAAAATGACCCTACAATCCCAACCCTAAGCTACTGTGATTCTTGATACTTACAGGGAGAATAAGACAGGTATCACACAGGTTCCTGAATATCGAAGGACGTGTGGAATTAACGAAACCCAGAAACAGGTGTTGCATACACAAAACACAAGTAATTACAGGACATTTGCCACTGATAAGGAAGAAATAGACAGCTTGCAATCTGAAGCTGAATTTCTGGAAAGTTAAGTGGATGCTGATGAGTTCTAAAAAAATCAGATTCTGAGTCATCTATATTCTTAATCTGATTTCCTAGAAATACTTCTTAGTGGCTAAAAAGTAATACAGTAGAGCCGGGCGCGATGGCTCACGCCTGTAATCCCAGCACTTTGGGAGGCCGAGGCTGGTGGATCACGAGGTCAAGAGATCCAGACCATCCTGGTCAACATGGTGAAACCCCGTCTCTACTAAAAATACAAAAATTAGCTGGGCATGGTGGCGCACGCCTGTAGTCCCAGCTACTAGGGAGGCTAAGGCAGGAGAATTGCTTGAACCCAGGAGGTGGAGGTTGCGGTGAGCCGAGATCACGCCATTGCACTCCAGCCTGGGCAACAAGAGCGAAACTCTGTCTCAAAAAAAAAAAAAAAAAAAAAAAAAAAGTAATACAGTAAAATTTGGTCTAATTCAAGCATTTACATTAAGCAGTAAGGGAGGAAGAAGCCACTTGTCCTGAGTTATCAGAATTTTTAAAAATACAGCCTCACTTCAATAGGTTTAGTGATACGGCTGATCCTTACGTAAAAAGTGTATGCACGGCCGGGCGCGGTGGCTCACACCTGTAATCCCAGCACTTTGGGAGGCCGAGGCGGGTGGATCACGAAGTCAAGAGATCGAGACCATCCTGGTCAACATGGTGAAACCCCATCTCTACTAAAAATACAAAAATTAGCTGGGCATGGTGGCGCGTGCCTGTAGTCCCAGCTACTCAGGAGGCTGAGGCAGGAGAATTGCCTGAACCCAGGAGGCGGAGGTTGCGGTGAGCCGAGATCGCGCCATTGCACTCCAGCCTGGGTAACAAGAGCGAAACTCCGTCTCAAAAAAAAAAAAAAAAAAGTGTATGCACACAGTATAGGTCAGATTTTGAAAACTACTATAGCAAGATTGACATGGTGAAATTTCCTAAAACATAATGACATATAAAAGAAAGTCCCCCAAGTATCTTTCTTCTTTGCTAAAATTAAATATATAATTGAAGAATGCAAAAAATGGTCTTGTTCAATATAATCCTCACTATGTGCCCATCCACGGTCTAGGAAGAGAATCTACGTAGAGAGGGCAGGTGACTTGCCAGGGGCCACACACGAAGGGCTTCCCTTTTCTGTACTGCACGCGTGGTAATTTCATGAGGACTCTGTTTCGGTTCCCGTAACAATGTGCTTCCCATGGCACAGGCCAAATCAAGAAAAAGGAACAAATCAACGAAGGTCCTTTCCGGCCTGATGGTCTCCAGCCATAACTAACGAGCTGTTCTTACCTCAACAGAATCTCCTCCTGTAGTTTCTTCCGTTTTGGGGGTCTTCCCCTTCTTTTTCCTGTTTTTCCAGGAATACTTGAGACGTTTTTTTGTCCTTCGCTTTCCCTAATAAATAATATTAAAGAGAAATGTTCTGGCATCGGATTGGCATGCTACATATGATTTTTTTTAACACTTTTCTCTCTCTCTCTTTTTTTTTTTTTTTTTTGGAGACAGAGTTTCGCTCTCGTTACCCAGGCTGGAGTGCAATGGCGCGATCTCGGCTCACCGCAACCTCCGCCTCCTGGGTTCAGGCAATTCTCCTGCCTCAGCCTCCTGAGTAGCTGGGACTACAGGCACGCGCCACCACGCCCAGCTAATTTTTGTATTTTTTTAGTAGAGACGGGGTTTCACCATGTTGACCGGGATGGTCTCGATCTCTTGACCTCGTGATCCACCCGCCTCGGCCTCCCAAAGTGCTGGGATGACAGGCGTGAGCCACCGCGCCGGGTGCTACATATGATTTTAAAACGGTACTTCTGGCCATGAGATTACCAAAAAGGATTAGATGTCGCGGTGACAGGAAAGAGTCACTTGGAGCCTTCCATTATTAGACTATGGATCTGAACTAATTATTTCACAATACTAAAATGTGGTTAAGTTCTCATATCTTCCAAAGAGTAAGCACTGCTCCGAGCACCAAAATAAGAAAGGCTCAGTAGGCCGGGCGCAGTGGCTCACGCCTGTAATCCCAGCACTTTGGGAGGCCGAGGTGGGTGGATCACAAGGTCACGAGGTCAAGAGACTGAGACCATCCTGGTCAACATGGTGAAACCCCGTCTCTACTAAAAATACAAAAAATCAGCTGGGCATGGTGGCACGTGCCTGTAATCCCAGCTACTCAGGAGGCTGAGGCAGGAGAATCGCCTGAACCCAGGAGGTGGAGGTTGCGGTGAGCCGAGATCGCGCCATGGCACTCCAGCCTGGGTAACAAGAGCCAAACACCGTCTCAAAAAAAAAAAAAAAAAAGAAAAAAAGAAAGAAAAAGAAAAGCCTAAATAAGAGGTTAGCATTTTAGGATGCTATGGAAATGTGGCCTCTTCCTTACTTAGTAAAGCGTATGTTTCAGGCATCGTTTAAGGTCCTTTTGCTCTTAAACTGATAGATACTAAGGTTCATAAACTAGATCACTGATTCCAGTAGAAACGGACATGTCATGGATTGACAATGAGAGATGAAAGTTGCTAGTGCAGTGAAATGATCGTACTGCGGAGAAGAAACCGGCCGTGTTACAACCATCCGTGGTAGGAGGACTGGCATTTCCCAGAAACCTCCTCTCAAGAACTTCCGGTCAGAAAGTATCTTTAACCCGTCTGGTAGCAGAGAATTAATTCCTTTTTGTTTTTGCACAAAGTATCTTCTTACCATCTCTTTGCAGGCATGCTTAGAGAATTCATTAGAAAAAAAAAAAAAAAAAAACTGTGCTGTTGAATCCTGATGCATTTAATCACATTTTAATACAGTAGCTAACTTACCCCGACATTAAAAAATATACCTGCTCAAAGAGAGTTCTCCATTGGGTTTTCCTTGTACCGGGTCCTCTTTGTACATTCGTGTTCCATAGAAATACCAATACAGGGCCCCAGAATTGTCTTCACCCAGTGGCTCCACGCGCAGACTGTCTGCATCCAGACCCTGGGCAGAACGAGAAAAAGGGGTTTGGGAAAATGGGGAACAAAATGCACCAGGAAAAAACGAAAATGAGGATTCGGAATTTATACTAAGGAACACCTCAAATCTAAAAATGCCTGAGTATCTTATATGTCACTTTCTTTTCTTTTCTTTTTTTTTTATTAGGCGGAGTTTCGCTCTTGTTACCCAGGCTGGAGTGCCATGGCGCGATCTCGGCTCACCACAACCTCCGCCTCCTGGGTTCAGGCAATTCTCCTGCCTTAGCCTCCTGAGTAGCTGGGATTACAGGCACGCGCCACCATGCCCAGCTCATTTTTTTGTATTTTTAGTAGAAACGGGGTTTCACCATGTTGACCAGGATGGTCTCGATCTCTTGACCTCGTGATCCACCCGCCTCGGCCTCCCAAAGTGCTGGGATGACAGGCATGAGCCACCGCGCCCGGCCTTCTATGTCACTTTCAATTGGCATAAGAAACGCGGATACCACGGGAAGGTGGAGCCTACTTTGAAGAACAGGATGTGGCAGTATTACAGCCCTCCCCACCATCGCGCCCTTTTCACAAACAAGAGAACCCAACAGCAGTCTGGATGAGCAGTTTACAGCCCGGCTGGGAGCTGCTGCTGCTGGATGTGAGTACACACTAAAGGCAACACGAGTCCAACCGAGTGGGGGTTGGGCACAGGGCCAGCTTTGCCCACGGGCTCCTCTGTGGCAGCCACGCCGTAACCTCCCGCGACCTCTCATTCCAGCTGAGCTCCAGCGACAGAGCTCCCGATCGACCTCGGGGGCTGACCTGTACCGGCCTTCCCGCTGCTACTCAAGTCCTTGAGTCCTCGGCAAAGACTGTGCGAAATGACGCACTGATTTTTGTCATGTGTCCATGCACAGAGCTCAGCCGAGAAGTCATCACCACCTTTCATCACTGATGACGGAACAGGATGAGAAACCGGCCTCTCTACGACTGCAAGTAGTTAACGCACACCCTGCCTCTAGGATGTCCTTCTAAGACAGACACCCACGCCAAGGGGGCGGACAGAGATGGCTACAGCTTCCTTCGTCAACACGTTTTGGTCGTGTGGATGTGTGCAGAGGATGAACTTCACTAGCATATACGGTTTCAAGTTCTTGGCGATTTCAGCAGAGATTTCAATTCTGTTCAATCCCATTTAGACCTTGGGAAAGAAACTTCGGTGGCTAATTTCGTTGCAGGTTTGGCTGACGACAGGACAGGGTCCTCCGGTTGTACCTATGGCAGCTGGGACCCAGCGCACGTACAGGAGAAAGAAACCAGACTACAAATGAGACCAAAATGACGTACTTCCCTAGGGATGCACATCCGGCATCTCCTTGGCTACGGCGATCGTGGTTTTCTATACAGTGTCATCAGAGGTGACCAACCCCGAGACCAGTACACCACAAGCCAAACGCCGGCTTCGTATCTTCGGGTTTTACGTTCTGACTACATTTGGGATTGCTGGCTTTGCTAGCTCGAGGGGAAGAGCTCTCCAGTGAAGCCTACCTTGAGGAGATCAAAGACATCGTCGGCATCCAGTCGGTAATCACAGAGGCGATGCAGGATCTCCACCCGCGTGCGAAGAGGCAGGTCCTGGAAACTCGCTTCCCTCAGGGGGTTGGGCTTCCCTTCTTCCAGCTCCCAGCGGTAGTTGATGATGTCCTCTAGGTAGCTGTGGAATGTCTGAGGCCTAGACCAGGGCCCCAAACACAGAAATACATTAATATAAAATATAGGATGGTTCGAAAAGGTGGGGTGGAGGGGGGCGGGGAGAGAGAAGGACAGAGAGAACTCGCGATCGGACCGCTCAGATTTTTTTTTTTTTTCTTTTTTTCTTTTAAACATACTGGGTCTCGCTCGGTCATCCAGGCTGGAGCTCACTGCAGCTCTCCTGGGCCCAAGAGATTCTCCCATCTCAACCTCCCGGGTACCTGGGACGACAGGCATGCACTACCATCACACCCAGCTAATCTTTGTATTTTCTGTAGACATGGGGGCCTCCCTATGCTTCCCAGGCTGTTCTCAGACTCCTGGGCTCAAACGATCCGCCCGCCTTGGCTTCCCAAAGTGCCGGGATTACAGGTGTGAGGTAACACGCTTGGCCCAGCTGACAAATTTTACACAGAGAGCAGCACTGAAAAACAGTAATACAAAGCCCCTCATGAAGCTTCTGCTTATTTACATGGATAGTGTGTTCTCTCAACCAGCAAGGAAGATAAACACATAAAGAGGTTTTTTTTTTTTTTAAATAGAATAGGTTGACTTTAAAGCTCAAACAGCACATTCTGGCGCAGTCGGTAAAAGCATAATCACATGTGGAGACTACGAAGCTCAGGCCAAAGTCTCACCCTCTATGCGTACAGTTAGACACTCTGCGGTTCAGACAGACAGGACAAAGCTGGGTTCCTGATTTAGGAGGCAAGAGAAAAGAAAAAGAGAAACTTCTAGTTGGCCTAAGCTGATTTGTATTTCATTGTAAGATACAAAGGCGGGAACGCCTCCAGAATGGAAATGGCTACACTGATATGCAGCTATAATTTTACATTCTATTATATGAACTTTAAGGCATGGTACGAAACACTGCATTCTACATTTTCTTTTTCTTTAATTTTTGGCCGAGATGGCGTCTCACCATGTTGTCCAGGTTGGTCTTGAACTCCTGGACTCAAGCAATCCTCCCACGTCTGTATACTAACATTTGAAGACAGTTTTTCTATAGAGAACATTTAAGACACCTAGATGATAATTAATTTTTTTTTTTTTGGTAGAGTCCGGCAATCCTATAATTGCATTAAATATTTTTTTTTTTAACCATATGGGGTCTCACTGTATTCCCCAGGCTGGATTCAAACTCCTGAGCTCCGGCAATCCTCCCACCTTGGACTCCAGAGCATCTGGGACTACAAGTACATCTTACCAGACCTAGGTGTAAACTACATTTTTTTTTTTTGAGACGGAGTCTCACTCTGTCACCCAGGCTGGAGTGCAGTGGCACAATCCAAGCTTACTGCAACCTCCACCTCCCAGATTCAAGCGATTCTCCTGCCTCAGCCTCCCTAGTAGCTGGGACTACAGGCACCCGCCACCACATCCGGCTGATGTTTTGAATTTTTAGTAGAGATGGGGTTTCACTGTGTTAGCCAGGATGGTCTCGATCTCCTGACCTTGTGATCCACCCTCCCTGGCCTCCTAAAGTGCTGGGATTATAGGTGTCAGCCACTGCGCCTGGCTCATTTAAAAAAAAAAAGATAGATTTTGCTTTTGCAGCCTTGTCTAGGGTGCCATGATGTAATCTCGGCTCATTGCAACCTCCGCCTCCCAGGTTCAAGTGATTCTCCTGCCTAAGCCTCCTGAGTAGCTGGGATTACAGCCACTTACCACCATGCCTGGCTAATTTTTCTATTTTTAGTTTGACCACTTTGGCCAGGCTAGTCTCGAACTCCTGCCCTCAGGTGATCTGCCTGCCTCAGCCTCCCAAAGTACTAAGATTACAGAGGTGAGCCACCACACCTCGTCATGCATTTTGATTAGTTCCTAAGTGTGCCTTGCATTAAAAAAAGTGCTGTTTTTGTTAGATGGCTATTTTACATCTCAACTATAAAGAATCAAGATATAATTTACCTCATGTGGCCAGGCGAGGTGGCTCACGCCTGTAATCTCAGCACTTTGGGAGGCAGAGGTGGGTGGATCATGAAGTCAGGAGTTCAAGACCAGCCTGGGCAATATGGTGAAGCCCCATCTCTACTAAAAATACAAAAAATTAGCTGGGTGTGGGGACGTGTGCCTGTAGTCTTAGCGGCTCAGGAGGCTGAGAAAGGAGAATCACTTGAACCCAGGAGGCAGAGGTTACAGTGAGTCGAGATCACACCATTGTACTCCCGCCAGGGTGACAGAGCAAGACTCAGTATCAAAAAAAAAAAAAAAAAAAAAAAAAATTAAAAAAATGTACCTCATGCTTGATGTGATTTTTTTTTTTTTTTTTTGGAGACAGAGTTTTGCTCTTGTTACCGAGGCTGGAGTGCAATGGCGCGATCTCGGCTCACCGCAACCTCCGCCTCCTGGGTTCAGGCAATTCTCCTGCCTCAGCCTCCTGAGTAGCTGGGGGGAAGCACGCACCACCATGCCCAGCTAATTTTTTGTATTTTTAGTAGACACGGGGTTTCACCATGTTGACCAGGATGGTCTCGATCTCTTGACCTCGTGATCCACCCGCCTTGGCCTCCCAAACTGCTGGGATTACAGGCTTGAGCCACCGCCCCCGGCCCAATGTGAAATTAAAAAAAAAAACAACAAAAAACGAAGAGGCCTAAAGAAGTTATTGGTATAATTTTACAATTAGGCATGTACCATGTTGACTTATAATCTATGGTAGTTATATCTGCAGCAAAGTCAAAGGGAATATTAATGGAAAAAATTAAGGAGGCTTAGGCAGATAAGAAATTGAACAGTTTGATTTTTCAAACAGAGAAGAAACGTTTTCCCCTACTATTATCTTGCTGGGGAAAATGTGAGTAGCTTATCAAATGCAGTGGCACGGTTTTACTATCAGGGCTCTCACACATTTCACTGGACGGCAGCATTCACGTTCAGCACACGAGCATTGGCCATTAATACCTGCTTGAACCTTGCAGGGTTTGGACTGGCCACCTCTCCAAAAGTCTGTGAAGTTGCTGCCACCCAACAGCAGTTCAAACTCGCATTAAAATGTAGATGGTGTGGCAATGGTGAATTTGAAAATGAAAAAGGTTTAACAAAAAAAAAAAAAAAAAAACAACTCCTTTTTTTTAGTCGCCAGAAGTGTGAAGAAGACAATCATTCTTTGGCAATAAATCTCTTTTTTTTTGAGACGGAGTTTCGCTCTTGTTACCCAGGCTGGAGTGCAATGGTGCGATCTCGGCTCACCGCAACCTCCACCTCCTGGGTTCAGGCGATTCTCCTGCCTCAGCCTCCCGAGTAGCTGGGATTACAGGCACGTGCCACCATGCCCAGCTAATTTTTTGTATTTTTAGTAGAGACGGGGTTTCACCATGTTGACCAGGATGGTCTCGATCTATTGACCTCGTGATCCGCCCGCCTCGGCCTCCCAATGTGCTGGGATGACAGGCGTGATCCACCGCGCCCGGCCGGCAATAAATCTCTTTATCGCATGCTTTCGAGAATTTCTAACGTACACCATGTTCCACAAACGCTAAAGTCTGCTTTTTCCTGCAATAAAATAAAACACGGAATCAGTGAAATCTGTATCGTTTTGCCAGCATGGCAGCTTCACTGTAGGATGTGCAGAAGATGCTGGGCCAGGGAGCCAGCCCTTTCTTATTCCAGTGTGAGGCTGAGAGTCCCGGCACCCCACCCAGACAGACACTGTGTGTCGACGTACAGAGCCGCTCCTTCAGCCTACAATCTGTCTCGAAGAATTTCGTGTTTCAGATTCCAACAGGCCTGCTGTCCTAACTCAGTGTAAATTGTATGACTTTTGGCCAGGCGCGGTGGCAGCGCTCCAGGAGGCCGAGGCTGGCAGATCACGAGGTCAGGAGTTCAAGACCATCCTCACCAACATGGTGAGACCCCATCTCTACTTAAAAAAAAAAAAAAAAAAATAGGCCGGGCGCGGTGGGTCACGCCTGTAATCCCAGCACTTTGGGAGGCCAAGGCGGGTGGATCACGAGGTCAAGAGATCGAGACCATCCTGGTCAACATGGTGAAACCCCGTCTCTACTAAAAATACAAAAAATTAGGTGGGCATGGTGGCGCGTGCCTGTAATCCCAGCTACTCGGGAGGCTGAGGCAGGAGAATTGCCTGAGCCCAGGAGGCGGAGGTTGCGGTGAGCCGAGATCGCGCCATTGCACTCCAGCCTGGGTAACAAGAGCGAAACTTCGTCTCAAAAAAAAAAAAAAAAAAATAGCCAGGCATGGTGGCTCATACATGTCATCCCAGCTACTCAGGAGGCTGAGGAAAGAGAATCTCTTGGACCTGGGAGGCGGGGGTTGCAGGGAGCCGAGGCCACTGCACTCCAGCCAGGGTGAGAGCGAAGACTCCGACTCAAAACAAAAACCAGTTTTGCTAAAAGCTTTTCCAGTTTTGCTAAAAGCTTTTCGTCAGGCACCTATCTCCAGGCTGCCTTAAACCAGGAGATGCTTGAGGGCGTACAATCCAGGACAATTCCGTTTCCCTGTATGCAGATCCACCTCCTCCTGGAAATCTACATTTCCTTTTGAACATCAGAAAGTGAATGGGGGGGAAAAAACCTCTTGGGGGCAAAGGTCCTGGCTAAGGGTGATTTGAATAAAAAGGCGCCAGGAAGCTAAAATTCAGGCGAATTCTTTCTACGGGACAGAAAACACTTTTAAGAATCTGATGAATTGGCCGGGCCGGCCGCAGTGATTCACGCCTGGCTCTTAACTACCTCTTTTCTTCCCAGAAAGAAAGAATCAGAGACGGAGACCGACCTCCGCCTCCGGGGTTCAAGCGATTCTCCTGCCTCGGCCTCCTGAGCAGCTGGGACTACAGGTGCAGACCACCACGCCCAGCTAGTTTTGGTATTTTTAGTCGCATGAGAAGGCTCTTGAGTTCTTTGAGGTATGTGTTAGGGACATGGAAAGGCAGCCATGGTCTCTCTACAGGGGGCAGTAAAGCTATGGCACCAGGCTTCCCAGAATGGAGATCAAACGAAAACTCCAATTGCCTTCTCC